TCGGTTTAGCACGTCTACCGAAACCGATCTTGACAGCCGCCCTCACAAGGCGACACACGTACACACTGGTATGGTCATCTCACGGGACCCTATGTTCCTGTTTCTAGGGCGTTCTGTTGTCGCCAATTTGCCCGGTTAGTAGAGACTCAAGTGAGGGCAGTTTCTTTGCTTCTACCTTCTACGCTGCGTCACGCCTGCTCAACAGAGGGCCTAGACCGTACAATATTCAGGTGGAATGCAGTATCTGACCGCTCTCGGCCAGCCGATGTTAATGCTGTAATACAGTTATGCACATTCGCTTCCGTCGTAAATGCAAATTTATTTACAATTACTCCTTCACATAAAAATAAGTAAAGATATCCCTGTAACAGGCCGTGGAGGCCCATAGGGTTGTGAATGTTGAGGTTCCCACATTTTCTAGACAATCGGCTCATACATGGCGGCAAGGTTGTCAGCCTTACGCGCCGGCCGCCCTTTACTCCAAAGAATATTTCAAGAATATTCCTGGTACTCATTTCTGTTAAGAGGCTGAGTCGACCCCTGGGCCATAGTGCGGCTGGAAGGATTAGGTCAATTGAAAAATAAAAATCCAATGACCTAATCGGGACTTGAACCGGCGACCTTCGGCTTGTAGCATAGAGCCCCCCCCTACTCCTTCACATACAAATAAATTTTTAAAAAATTAAAACTTAGCCATTAGAAATTACTACACGTTTCGGCAGTGCTCATATGGGGGTCGTGGATGTACAGATCCACGTCTTCTTGACCTCAGCACTAGTTGGAGGTGAGCAGTCAGCTTCACGCCTCGGCAACCTTACCCCCGGGGAAATAACCCCCGGTAACAATTTGATAGGAGGTTGGATGGGACCCACATAGTTTGGACGACGTGGAGAAGAGAAAATTCTTGACCCTACTAGAATTCAAACTCCGAAATTTCGTTCGTTCAGCCGGCAGCCAGTCGCCTTACCGACTGCGCTACCCCGGCTCCTTATGAAGTCACTGTAATTGTATAAATTAATTCCAAGATGAATTCTCAAATAAAACCTGTTATATCGGCACGCAGAGTATGGTACGAAAAAATTATTCTGGTCTCTCTCCAAATGCAACAAAATATACGCGTGTCTCAACGACAAATCTGAAAGTAAATGATGGAACACGCCGTTCTTTTGATGTGAGAACGGCGCTCAGTAAAAATAACGTGAATAATTCTACCATCGACCGAGGTAGGGTCATGCAAATTATGTTATCTGGCGCAAAGCTCCCCTCAAGCAGAAAGCAACCGAGCTTCGCAGGAATTTCGCTGTCAATGGAAATTATGCAATTCTCGCTTTCGTCTATGCTGCATAGTTTCTCTGTTATTGCCACATTTTAAGAATAAAATCAAGCTCCATTAAACTTCATTATTACAATTATAGCTCTGTGTGTGCTGAAAACGGTACGCCACCAACACGTATGGGACAGAAGGGGGTAAAACTGCACGCATTTCCAATCGAGACGTTATAGATGAACTGTCAGCTTTACCCCCTGCGAAACAGTCCCGTACTCAACAGACATAAGGCTGGGTGATCCTAAGGGCAGGTTGTGAGAGGGTGCCTGACCCTGTCAGGAATGGAATTCTGATCATCCAGCACGTACCATGTTATTGAGTTATCCCAGATCACTTCAATAGGTCCGTCACATAGTCAGGAGGTTGGCCGCGCCATAGCTCAAGCGGTCAGTCGCTGGCTTCCCACCGCGGCGGCCCGGGTTCCATCTCGGGTCTGGTCAAGTGGGATTTGTGGTGGACAAAATGGCGCTGGGGCAGGTTTTCTCCAAGTACTTCGGTTTCCCCTGCCAATCTCCATTCCACCAACTGCTCCACAATCACCATCACCTATCATCTGGGGCTGGTACAATAGGTCAGAAGTGGCCACAGTACAAAGGACTTAGTCCCACCCCACTACCATTAAAAAAAATTAACCAGGAGGTTTGTCGCCAGATTCTCGACGGTGGCGCCCAAGTTCGATCCCAGTGATATCTGTGGCGGACAAAATGGTGCTGGGGTATCCTATCACCGTCTCGATACTGATAAACTCCGTATCTTCTAGTCCACAAGCTAACTATACCGACCGAGCGAGCAACTGCCGATGGTCGGCGAAGTTAGTGCCAACTTTTGCGGATAGAGGGTGTTGCGTGGTCAGCGCAACGAATCCCCACGGTCGTTTATTTCAGTATTCTAGACCGGAGCCGCTATTTCCTTGAAATAGCTCCTCAATTATCCTCACGTGGCTGAGCGGAGCCCGTTCCAGACCCACTACTTCTGTCAGCGCCGGTAATCGAACCCGGAACCTCTGGATCTGTAGCCAGGAACTCTGACCATTAAACCACAGTCTCAATAATGATAGTGTCGTTAAATAACACAAGGAACGCAAAGGCCATTTTATTGTTAGTTTTGTTTATTGGGCTGTGAATGCTTGGCGACAATCGTAAACGGGGGAATTCTAATTACGTCATTTGCATATTCGCGTGAATATATGACAAGTGTAGAACTGAGCAAATAGGACTCAAGCATAAATTAATGGGAGAAGTCCTGGGGTTTGGTTGTTTTGTTTACGCACGCAAGCACAGACCACTAACCTACTTCGTTCTGATTAAATAGTTCATAATCCACGCTAAATGAGGTATAAAATTATGTTATCGTAAAATGTGTATCATAGCTTCACTAAGAGAATATCTTCTGCAGAATTAGTTTTCCCCGAAATAATTAAATTGTCTGTAACTGGATTAGCTCCCCGTGCAATTCGGAGGGATAATAAAATGGCGACACATTAATTCGATCTGTCTGAAGGAAGCCTGATGAGGTATAGATGGCTGTCATGAAATTTACGTTATCGTTGTCATTGTTTCATGTTTATAGGAACATGTTAGAATATAACAAAAGGTACACGAAAACAGAACAACTTTTTCTCTCTGACGCTACAGCCCCAATTTGGGCCTTGGCCTACCTCCATGAAAATCTCCGTTTCACTTCGGTTTACTAGACCTTAAAATTCGGTAGGACTCCTTGGGCGGGAGATCAGCTCATAGCAATACCTCTACCCGTACACAAGCACTAAGCATCTATGCCCTCAGTGGACTTCGAACCCACGATACCGGCTTCCGAGCGAGCGAAGACAGTGCATGCCTTAGACCGCTCGGACACCGTGACCGACTAGAGCAACAATATCACATATTAAACTGAAGTTTGCTACTCACGGTAGCCGAGCGGTCTAAGGCATGCACTGTCTTCGCTCGCTCGGAAGCCGGGATCGTGGGTTCGAATCCCACTCAGGGCATGGATGTTTGTGTGCGTTTTTCTGTGTTTGTCTACAGGTAAAGGCCTTGCGACGAGCTGATCACTCGCCCACGGAGTCCTACCTATGTGTAAGATCTAGTAAACCGAAGTGAAACGGAGAGTTTCATGGAGGTAGGCCTAGGCCCAAATTGGGGCTTTAGCGCCACAGGAAAAAAAAATGAAGTTTACAGACTCTTAGCTGATCGGACATATCCTCCACATTTCATACAAACCGCGGTTCAAAGGAGCTTGAGACCAGAACTCAGCTACAGCCAGTTGAATCCAATTCACGCACTCATAATTGTATTGTTAATAAAACTAAACTAAAACTAAACTCCGTGGCTTGAGACCACAGTCAAACTACACCGACCGAGCGACCGCCGCTTGTCGTCGAAGTTAGTGCCAATTTTTGCGGATAGGGGTGTCGCGTGGTCGGCGCAACGGATCCCCACGGACGTTAATTTCGGTTTTCTAGACCGGAGCCGCCATTTCCTTGAAGTAGCTCCTCAATTATCCTCATGAGACTTAGTGGACCCCGTTACAGACCCACTAGTACTCAGAAAATCTGGTAGTGCCGGGAATCGAACCCGGACCTCTGGTTCTGTAGCCAGGAATTCTGACCACTAGACCACAGAGGCGGTCTTGTTTTGTTGATATCCACTTTCAAAACATATTACCTCCCATTCAGAAGTTAGGTCTCGAAAGAAGTCTCCCATCATCAGGGTTTTCGATTAAATTTTATATGCGATTGTCCTCTATTGATGCCGAACGTTCATCGTGTATCATCCTCCTCATTATGATAACCCTAACAGTAATCGGCGTGGAGTAGAAATTTAAAAAATCAGAAAGAGAACTACACTCTGGGAATTGTGACGTGTGGTCTGGCAGAAATTTACCGATGCCTCTGATCTAGCTTACTTCGCTTATTTTTCGACCTTGAAGACGGAGGCAGTACGTTCCTCCGAAACTTCGGTAAATTTCTACAGTATTACACAGCGTCACATTCCTGAAGGCAAGTACCGTTGTCAGAACCTCAACTCCATCACATGAACCTCGCAACCTCCCTTCATTGTCTCTCCCTTAGGCCCAAAAGTCTCCATAACATTGTTCTCAGCCACTCTGAACCTAAGTAAACGTAAAGTTATCCCTGTAACAGGCCGTGAAGGCCCATAGGGTTGTGAGACGTCGAGGCTCCCACATTTTCTCTAGATAATCGGCTCTCAGAGGGCGGTGAGGTTGTCAGCCTTACGTGCCGGCCTCCCTTTAGCCCCAAGAAGATGCCTGGTACTCATTTCTGTTAGAGGCTGAGTCGACCCAAGGCCCATAGTTCGGCTGGAAGGACTAGGTCAATTGAAAAATCCAATGACCTCACCGGGAATGGAACCTTCGACTTTCCAGCTTGTAGCATAGTGCCTCAACCACGCTTACATCTCGAGTACTTCTTTTAAATTGAAATCTTCTCTGATTTTCTTTTCATCGGAAAAATTAGGGGGTTGCCTTATATTCTGAATTATACGGTACATGATAATGGCCATCCACACCACGGAAAGCTTCCAAAGAACGTAACGTCGTTTTATGTTTCTTGTTGAAGTTCAGTTGCTGCTACAGGCACATATATCACAAACATCTGGAGATGGCTCACAGGCCTACCGATTCTGAGACGTACGCATGCTGAAGTAAAGGATACATATATCTGGTCCCGGCTATAGCGCACTAGAAGATTCTTGTTGATTCCCAGCACATCGATGTCCGAAATGACGGTCATATCCGGTACGCCCACTTCCGGGCTGGAGCCCAGCCCTGAAAACAATCACAATACGCAATATAAGTTAATACGTCAAGGGCACAAATGCATGGACACCAACATTCCCACAAGAAAAGAGGTTCTCGTTGTTGTGATTATTATGATTAGGTGATTCAGGACGTGGCACTTTGTAGTTCTGTAGGTACGTACCAATATTTCGAAAGAACCTCCTGCCTCCATCGTCAGGGCACAATATTTACTTAAAGAACGATGTCAACATCAAAGATTATATAGCGTATAACGATAGGGTGATTAGCGAAATAATCCTGTCACGATTTAGGGGTGACTATGGACGGGATATGAATTGTGAATGGGTTTACTGGCCACTTATACACATAACTCGGAACTATAAGTAATTACACTTCACAATCACAGCACCTGATTAGCCTTTCTCCAGCCTGCTGTGTCTTCATCAGACATTCCCTGGCAACGACTTCTAACACTAGAGATTCTTCAGTTTCACGCGCTCGCAGCTTCCCGTGCAGAATTCAACTCTCAGTTGCCTGAACTGACTGGGTGGCCTCAATTTTCTTCCTTATAACCCCTATGAAAAAACCGAGTTGAAAACACTGTTTCCAACAGTAGCTCTACTATTGTAGAGGCATGTTTACTGAGCCGTTGCATAGCAACAGCTGTTATCATGTTTGTTTTAAGGTCTTTGCCCAACAACGGGTCTATACGCCACAATATATTGGTGAAGGTGTGGAAGAAGGCGGTTCGACCCCGGGTCTGGTCAAGTGGGATTTGTGGTGGACAAAGTGACGCTGGGGCAGGTTTTCTCCGAGTACTTCGGGTTCCTCTGCCAATCTTCATTCCACCAATTGCTCCACAATCACCCTGGTGCTGGTACAATAGGCCAGAAGTGGCCGCAGCACAAGGGACTTAGCCCCACCCCACTAGCAATAATAAAAAAAAATAAAAAAAAAATAATATCTGGTTATAGGCCCCAAATGGGGCTCAACACCAAGACAGATAGTCTGACTGACTGTCAGTCGGAATTTAACTTTGACTTTGACTTAGCTGGAGTGACAAGAAATGGGGAGGTACTGACAGAAGTGGAAGGAACATTCGCAACGGACATCAGTTGATGCTCTCCCAAAGCAACTGAAGAGTATGGACCCCGAAGACCAAGACGATCAAGACTCTGGGAGGCGCAGGAAAGACGAACGAGCCAATAGCGTGCTTACACTTCAGAATGAGGAATACAGCACGCAGATATTTAGGGTGGGGGGGTGAAAGAGAGGAAGACCGAATAAATGGCGTTGTTGGCTTGAAGATCGGTGAGTTGAGGTTCGATTCCCACAGGGTTCAGCCGGCTCTGGGGCCTAACAAGCCTCCTATCACATGGATACCGGGATTTTTCACCCCACGATAAAACAGCCTAGGTGTGAAGCGGATCGCTCACATCTATTGCCTAAATCAGGCACGTCCAACTTCAAACAGGTTGTGATCGACTTTTTAGTGTCAAAACTGCCAGTGATTTACCAGTCCCTCCTATCGTCTACCTCACTTTAAGCAAAAATATTGGTAAAAATAACACGACACATGATGTTTGTTGTGAAAGCAACATACATTTAAAGTACAGACTACTTTAACACGTATTTTCCCTTCAAAATCTGAATATAATCATATTATATTACAAGTGAATTTAAATGCTTTTCACGTATAATTTCCTTATAGACCTATGAGATCGATCAAAAATCGTCCCGCAATCGACGCGTTGGACATGCCTGGCCTAAGTGAGGCATGCGGAATCTGTAATCTCATCCTTCTACAGATCTGCAGTCTCAAACTCAGATCTTCACTGGACGACCAATGATTGAGAGTAGCTTTATCTAACTGGCCCAATGGGGAAGAAGTCTCGCATCCCTTCAACATGAAGACGGAAATAGATCCCAGTTTCTGAAACGTTGTATTAGGGGGGGGGAATGCTCACTGCCCAAAATACATCGTATTTATTGAAATAATTCCTGTTCATCCTCATAATAATAATAAAGAGTCACAAATGCAGTATGTCAGCAAAATATAACGATTTTTTAGTGTTCAGACAGGTGGTACATATAGTAACCACTGCACTTTAAAGGGTTATTATTCGGAAGGAGTATGACGTTGGCAGGAAGGCAATTTTACGGCGCCTACGCTTGTTCTGCTCGCAATAATGCAACACAAGCGTGGAATGCATGTTTTAGTGTATTTTACCGAGATCAATACCGGCTCTTGCACGGAGCTACAGAAAAGAACTGAACTGCAGATTGGGGTGGGTTGCCTGCAGAACAAAGCGTATTGTTGTGGTGGCTTCCTGCCCCTCTACGGTCCCCAACACTCATCCCTTTTTCCCACCAGCATCAAGTATCAATGCCAGTTCTTCGAAGACATGAGATACATAAAAAAGTAAAGTAAATCTATCCCTGTAAGAGGCCGTGAAGGCCCATAGGGTTGTGAGACGTTGAGCTTCCCATATTATCTAGATAATCGGCTCAAAGATGGCGGTAAGGTTGTGAGCCTTACGCGTCTGCCCCGCTTTACTCCCAGGAAAGTTGTTTAATTAATTCCTGGTACTCATTTCTATTAGAGGCTGAGTCGACCCCAGGGCCATAGTGCGGCTGGAAGGATTAGGTCAATTGAAAAAATCCAAATTACCTAATCGGGACTTGAACCCGCGACCTTCCGGCTTGTAGCATAGCCCCTCAACCAACTACGCCACCGCGTGCACCCGGTATCCATGAAATGGAAGGCTGGGAGGGCCCCAGAGACCGTCTGGACGCTGCCTGGAATGGAACTCTGGCTGTCCAACCCATAGCCTGAGCTATCCAGACTCTCGAATGGTGAAGGAATACAAAGTACATGTTTAATGATGGGGTTAGGGAACAAGCAGCAGAATGTCTAAGCAAATGGGGAACAGCTTCCATCCATCTGGTAAGAATATAAATGCCAGAAACAAGGAATGTCCCTGAGTATGTGTTTGTGTACGTAACTGTGCCCACGTTAATGGCCAAGGACGCTTCGTTTAGGCAATCCCAAGATGCATTTACATTACGAGTGAATGGCGTCCATATTGATCTTGAAATGAAGGCATCGTCAAATAACGTGATACTCATGTAGCAAAAATTAAAACGTCCTAACAACACGATTAAATACATTGTACACTAAACTAACGTCACGCAGACCTTGCTTCTAGTTGGACAACTATAGTTTCAATTGAGATATTTGTTTCCAAATTTATTATTTAAAAGTAAGTCACTTTCTGGTTACAGACCCAGAGGTCCCAGGTCCAATTCCCGGTGCTACCAGATTTTTTGAGAAGTAGTTGGTCTGCATCTGGGTCCTCTCAGCCCCTTGAGGATAACTGAGGAGCTATTTCAAGGAAACAGTGGCTTCGGTCTAGAAAACCGAGATTAATGGCCGTGAGGATTCTTTGCGCTGACCACGCGACACCCTCTATCCGCTAAATTTGGCACTAATTTCATCGACAAGCGGCGATCGCTCTGTCGGTATAGTTCGCTTGAGGACTACAGGTCAAGGAGTTTTTTTTTTTAGTCACTTTCTTGCGTTTCCTTTCACAGTTTCTTCAGACGTACTCCTGAGTATTTTCTATAAAGCCGTCCAATTTCATTGCCTTGTTAATTGTTTGTGACGTAGAATAGGGTACGTTGTGATTTAAATAAAAGGTACAGCTATTCCTGTAACAGACCGTGGAAGTCCATAGGATTGTGAGACGTCGAAGCTCCCATATTTTCTCTAGACTATCGGCTCACGGATGGCGGTGAGGTTGTGGGCCTTATGCGCCAGCCGCACATTTACCCTCAGGAAGATTCCTGGTACTCATTTCTGTTAAGAGCCTGAGTCGTCATCAGACGGCGACTGGTGAAGCCACAACAGGGTGAGAAGACCTAGTGTGTCCTATAGTGATCTGTAAAGTGTGGAGTTGTATAAGTGTGTAATAAATTCGATTACCCCGTCTACAGTCACTNATCCAATTACCCCGTCTACAGTCACTCGCGTGATAATACGAACACCAGGTTTCATAAATATTTGTTGAGGAGAATACAGAGAGAGACAGACAGACACACACACACAGCAAGATGATCTCGTAAGACTAACTTTAATTTTTATTTCAAAATAAGGAAAGTAGGCTAAAAAGATGGATAGACGTTTGGTTCATGCCGTCTATCTGTGACTAAATAGGTGAGAGTTAAACGTCGAGTGAGTAAGAAACATTCATGAAGGCTGTACTTACAACATTCTTTAATCGTTTTTAACATAGAATATCACGTGAAACTCAATGACACCTTGACGTAGCATGATCACTCGGTTTACAACCATGGAACTATGGTACACCGCCAATCAGCTATATTGCAGAACAGTTCTGAAACATTAAATGCAAATATTGATATGGCTCCTAATGGCGTCACAGCGCCTTTNGGGGAGGGGAGCGCTGACTCACCCGCCGCGTCACTGCTGCTGGTGGGGGGGGGGTTCTCGTTTGCGCAACATGTCACAATATGAACATTATGTTTCATAAATATTTGTTGAGGAGGATACAGAGAGAGACAGACACACACACACAGCAAGATGATCTCATAAGACTAACTTTAATTTTTGTTTCAAAATAAGGAAAGTCGGCTAAAAAGATGGATTGACGTTTGGTTCATGCCGTCTATCTGTGACTAAATAGGTGAGAGTTAAACGTCGAGTGAGTAAGAAACATTCATGAAGGCTGTACTTACAACATTCTTTAATCGTTTTTAACATAGAATATCACGTGAAACTCAATGACACCTTGACGTAGCATGATCACTCGGTTTACAACCATGGAACTATGGTATACCGCCAATCAGCTATATTGCAGAACAGTTCTGAAACATTCAATGCGGATATTGATATGGCTCCTAATGGCGTCACAGCGCCTTTAAAGAACCCAAATAGTTCCATTTCTTGATTAACCACACCTTCAAAGTCCCTCCAATCGAATCGGAGAGAACGTCTAGATACCGGA